CTCTGAACTGAGAAACTTGCTTCTATGAATCAGCTTCCAGGAGCATAGCTAAGGCCAGCTGCTGTGGGACTGCTGAAGAGAAACTTGCTTAGAAAGCAAGCTCTGCTATTCCACAAACCTCCTCCCTGCCAACCCACCTCTTGGCAAGATAGATCTTCAGGGATTTTCAGGAGGTTAATACATAGTCTGCTGCTGTGTGGCAGCTCTCACTGGTGCTCTGTAAGAGCAGACCTCCACTGTTGGCAACTTTATCTAGCTAAACATTCTCTCTTGCTGTTGTCAGGATCAGTTGTTAGTTCTGTTCTTACCCTACTGTCCCCAGCTTTTAAGTTAACCAGGCAGGAGAGCTAAAAATTTATACAGGTGACTGCATCAGCACACAGTGACCAAACTACATCCATCTTCTGTTGTGTGCTTTTTGTGGCAAAATTCATTCTTTCTAGACACCTCATCCTTTAAATTCATGCTCTTAAATGCAGGTAAGAGTATTTAGAATACTCATTTCTATATGCAAGCTTGCTGCTCTCTCCTTCAAGCCCTGGTTCCTACAACTTCCTCTTTTGCTCTCACTGTCACATCTTTTCTTCTGCACCAATACTTAAGTTTATTTTGTGTGTGGCAGGAAAGCTGCAGTAACAAACTAAGGAATCTAACAAACTAACAAAGTTAAGTGTCTGTTTCTGTTACTCCTATACCTGTCTAGGTACTCACTGTTGCACTATGGATTTGAACAGCTTAGTTTTGAAAATAGCTTCAGTAATATATGCTGCTTCTCACTCATGTTTGATACTAAGGCTGGCTAAAGGCTTAAAAAGAAATTCTCATCCTCACTGGAAGAAAGAATGAAATAACAGAATAACAGCTTAATTGTAGAATCTTGTGCACATTAGTAACACTTCAGATTCTTAGCGATAGTACAAGCCTTTTCAGAGTAATTTTGTTCACACTGTTCAGGTGTTCAGTGGTTTCCCAGAAGCCTTTGGCTATCCTCGGGTAGCCAATAGCGTTATTTGGGGGTAATTCTCTTGTTACATTCTTTCCATATGAGTAAATGTTTGGAGGAGTCTTTCTAACATTATTACTGAAGTCTTTTTTTTTTTTCCCCTTTCGATTATAGGTTATCTGCATGGGTGCAAAACAGAATGGCTTGCCAATTGATTACCTGGAGAAATTAGAAGCTATTGAAACTAATAACTATGCGGGACCGGTGCCAATAATGGAAGAGATTGAAGCTGCTATTAAAGCAGAGAAAATAAATTCTGCATAGAATACCTCTGCATTTGCTTGGCCATTCACCTTGATTTAGATACCTCTCCTCACTGTGCTGATCAGCAGTTTCTTTATCAAGAAAAGATGAGTTTGTTGTGCATCTACAGTAAATCATTAGATATAATTTGCAGTCTGAAGACATGCTGACATTGGTAACTTCTTTTTGTATGTATAGCTTGAGTACATGCTGAAGGTTTTGCAGATTTAGAAATTATCTTTCTGTAATTGTCATGCAGTGCTGCACACAAGTTTGTGCTTCATGTCCTGTTTACTGACCTTTTTAAAAGAAAAAGGCCATCTTGATGAGTTTTGGCACCTGTTACTTTCTGAGTAATAAGGGCTGCAGGATCAGGCCCTTTGTTTTTAAATGATGTATACACAAATATCAAGAATTTCAAAGATTTATTAGGTGTAAACTCAAAACTCTAAACCTTTTTCTCTGCTACTTCTCTTAATGGTTTAAAGCCCAGCTTATCTGGTGCTGTGGAGTTCCTGTTTATATAGTTAACCAAGAAGGAAAATAAATATTTTTTTAACTCCCTCCATGTGTTTAAGTGTTAGTCCAAAAGGAAACTCAGGCCTGAAGACAACATTCAGCAAAGGATCTGGGTCAAGGCATCATGGCCTCCTCCTTTCTATGTTTAGTAGTCATCATAGGTGAACTAGTTAGCTATAACCAACAGATTTATAAAGAATTCATTTTAGTTAAATATTTCCAAGTTTTCTTAAATGACCTTTTTGTACCTATCTAGGCCTTGGTCTCATGTCCAGTGAAATCAGAAAGTCTCCTGTGAGTCCTAGCACATTTGTTTTGTGGTTTTGTTTGTCTGTTAAACCCCAAATGAACAGAATTTGGCTTTTTTTTTTTTTTTTTTTTCCCCACAGCTTTGACAATCTTGTGCAAAACTGAAAGCTTTTGTAAGACACAGAGTACTTATCTTCATGGTACTTGGCAACCCCTGTAGTTAGTCTATGGGCGACAAGGAGAAACTGACAACCTGGAAGATGTCAAATCACTGAACTTTGGTTTATCTTCTCTAGGGTGTATTTTTTTCTATTGATGTACAGAGGGATGTAAGATATAGTCATTGTCACTGTGTGACTGCTTAGATAAACAACTGATAAAGCAACAGACTGACTGTGTCTTCTCTGTATAAAATACACTTCTGCCAGGTATGTGTAGGTGCTGTCCTGATGTCATATGCCTGTTTCCAGATTTGGGCATGATGGCTACTGTAAAACATCGTACTTTCTGTATTAGCACTGTCTAGTCTGAAACTGAGTAAATAAAACTGTGATTACCAAAACCCTCCCCTGCCTGTTCAATGCATGCTTCAAGAATATCACAGAATTGTTAGGGTTGGAAGGAACCTCTGGAGATCGCCTAGTCCAACTCCCCTGCCAAGGCAGTGTAACCTAGAGCAGGTGACACAGAAATGCACCCTGGTGTCTTTAGAGAGGGAGACCCCGTGATCTCCCTGGGCAGCCTGTGTTGCATATATAAGTGAAAGCTGGTGATGTGGAGATGCAACTGAAGCCTCTCTTGTCTGTGTTTTTTTAATGGATATAATGTCAGTAGGGAGGGCAAAACTGTGTGAACACACCCCTCTGCATCAGCACCACTTCTTTTGCTTTACCCTTACCGTGCTCCTTTGAGCTTTTGGACTTTTAAATGTGTGCTTCACCCTTGCAAGAAGGGAGTGCCAGAATATTATTTCTGTTTTCTTTGTGGGGAATGGGGATTGACAGAAGGTACTTAATGCCTCCTGTTGAGGAAAATGGTGGGAGCTGCAGAGGGACTCCTGGCGCTTCTCTGGGCGTATGGAGGGAAGGGAGGTGTCGGCGAAGGGGAAGCCTTCGGGCCATGCCTGCGCGAGGAGGAGCCGCTTCCCGCCGGGGCGGAGAGACCGTGTGTGGGGCGGGGGTGGTGGGAAGCAGGGAAGCAGCCGTGGGCTGGCCGCCGTCCCTTCGCCGCCGCGGTGAGTGCCGGGGAAGGGCCGGGGGCGCAGGAGGGTTGTGAGGCTGCGGGTCAGCGGCCGCGCCGGGACAGGGATGGAGGGTGTGAGCCCAACTTTCTGCTTTCTGTAAACCAAAGTTTGTGTTACCGCGTGAAAGGCTTGCGAGGTGGGAGGGAAAGGGCTGCGCCCCGACGGCTCCCGCTCCTGAACTGGAAACTTAGGGATCCTTTCCGTTTCCTCCGGACGGTTCCTCCCGCGGCGGGGAGGAGGCGGCAGGCAGTGTTTCACAGGGAGTGGGGAGGGGGCACGAGGAGCAGCGCCCGCAGCAACTCGGCCAGGGGGACGACCCCTTCGTACAAAAACCCAGCAGCGCTACCAGGAATAAATGGTGTTCCAGAGGCTGGCGGGGATGTGGTGTTCCTGAAGGCTGTTGGGGAAGGGTGGCGAGATCCCACGGGCGGAGGAGGTGGGATCCTCCTGCCCTTGCGCCGCCTCGCTTTCCCCGTGAGTGACGGTAACTGGGTAAAGTAAGCCATCTGCTTCCCCGAATCCATGCGCTGACTCACGCGGGAGTCGTTTAGGTCCCAGTGCTTTGAGGGAGGAGGGAGCGATTCAATTGGGCAGGGAGGTGCCCCGTGGCTGCGGGGAGGCCGTGGCATGGTCATGATTACATCAATGCCGTGATTCCGTCAATTGCAACTTTCGTGGTAGAATTCACTGCTGGTTGAATGTGAAAATAGTAAGTAACAGTAGAAAAGCTGTTCCACTTTTATTGACACCAGTGAGTTGCCCCTTCCTCCTCTATCTCTTAAAAAAAAAAAATCCCCAAGAGTTCTCTGGTTAGAGAAAATTTCTTTACTTTTTAGTAGTGGCTTCTCATTATTTATTGAAATTTTCACACCAGAAAGGAGTTATCAGGAAACCACATAAAATCTCTTTGGCAGGGGCTTGTTAAAGCATCCAAGCACTGTATATAAAGTTCTGTTTCTATACAAAGTAATCTGTTACAATATGTAGTAACAAAACCTGTGAGGGATACGAATATTTCTGTCAAAGCCTGTGCCTTTTAGAGAAGAGCTTGTCATTTTACCAGGTGGAGGCAGCAAGAATTTCTTCTTTTACATCTGTTGCTCTTCAAATACCTAGGAATTGCTACTAAAGCTTATGCTACAGTCAGAGGAGAGAGAGAGGGGAGGGAGGAAAAAACCAATTGAAAGACGCTGATCTCTGTGACCCCAGAGCAACGCAAGATCACAAGAACTGTAATGGATTTACACTAACGTGATGTTAACATATGGCTCCCAGGGCCATTTATTGATGTGTAGCATCAGTGATGATAGTTACACAGAGATTGTGAACTAGGGTATGATGAGTGTGCTTTAACTCACAGAAATAGAATAATTTAAGATCAGTACAGGGACTCTGTACAAGCTCTACCAGTGCACCATTTTTACTATAAAAGTAAAAGGCTGTTTTTTTAATACCTCTGGGAAATCCATTGCATTGCTTCTCATCAGAGCATGCAGACTTTTTATGTGCCCGTTTGCCTCTAATCTCTTCATGTTTTACTGGTAAAAGTAAAATAGTAAAATAGCTGAAGTTCTTCTAAAAGTGAGAGCTGCTGTGTAGAAATAGATTGTGTCTTATTCAGTTGTTATAGTCAAAGACTGACTGCTGTGGCACACATGAAACAAGATGTGGAAAATCAGCCTCTCTTCTGTCTCTCCCAGTGATAGCAAAAGGTTGAGTTTAGACTGGCCTGACAGAGTCCAGATTACCAAGCATGGCAAAGTCTTCATTCCCCCTCTTGCTATAATGACTCTGCAGTGGGGGAGCTGTCACTGTAAAATAGCTTTTCTCAGGAAACAAATCTGACTTGGAGACACAAAGGGCACAGACTTTCATATGAAATGGAGCACTGTTTTCATACGGCTACCTCTCAAAGAATAATTGCATTTTGAATACTGCAGACAGAAGGCTATGTCAACAGGGACTCCACTAGCCCTGGACTGGCACTGAGGTTTCTGTGTGTGTGCTTCACTGTTGTCCAGCCAGAGCTGGCTACAAGGTGCTGTGAAAATCCTGAAGATATTCCAGCTACTGGCTGTAGATACCTGGGTAAGTAGCATAAGACTTTATTTCATGTATCATTTAGAGGAACCGTTTTCATCAGAATAGCAAGACTACAGGAGAAGTATTATTAACTGAGTTTTCAGCTCTTCAGATATCTTCTAGTTTGGTCTTAAATCAACTGCTTTAAGGGAGAGTTGTTTACTAATTTGCTCCTTGTATTGCCTTTACTGCTTCATCCTACACAATCTCCTTGGGAGCAGCCAGCACAATAAGGAGTCAATTCCATAGTTGACACAGAAGTGGAAATGTTTTTTAGCTATTCTATAAGATCCTTCAGCCTCTTTATCTACAGCATTTACATTTGATAAGACCTTGTTGTGATAAACCAGCATATTTTTTGCTGCCAGGGGGCTAGCAGCACTGGAAGTTAAAAAAGCATAGCAGTTTTCTTAGAAGAAGAGCAAGAGAGCTCTGTGAAAAGAGGATGTTAGGGGGGCAGGGCCAGGAAAGATAGAAGGTATATATGCTTGCACAATGCTGAGAATAGAGGGAACTCAGAAGGAACACTAGATAAATGTGCCAGTGCCTTCATGAAGAGGCCATCAGCACCACTGCAGCTTATTCACATGGGTCATATGAAACCTTGCTTGTAAGAACGGGTGCTTTTACCGTACCTCTTGCTGTGACAAATTTCATTTCCCTTTTTCATTTCCCTCTTTATCCCTGGCCTGCCCCCTATCTTGCTTCCTCTTTGTTATTCTCAGTTAAGCAGGTTCATGATATACATCTCTTGCCACACTTGATGTTGCTTCTCACATCACTTCAAACCCCATCAACACTTCATTTGGTCAAGGCCCTTCTTTGCCTTTACAGCTGGTGAGTAAGCACTCTGCTCTCTGGTTCTTTTTAATCTCCAGTTCTTTTTAATCTCCTCTACTCTGTTTCCTGTCTTCTTCACCTGACTGACATTACTGTCCTCAAAAGGGCTGACTGAATTGCCTCTCCAACATCATTGGCAGCCTCTTGAGTAAGTAATTGTTTTTTATTTTTCCTCTCAGAAACAAGAAGTCCATTCTGTTCTCAGATTGGAGGCTTTTCCCCATGAGTGTTTCTCATGCTGTCTCCCCATATTAGACGCCCTCCTTGCTCAGGTATCATCTCTCTTGTCTGTCTCCATTCTCCTTTAGGTGTTTTGCTGTTTCAGCTACTCTACCGAGCTTGCAAATCTTTCCCTTCCTCTTGCTCATTTCTCTAAGTAGATGTGTTCACAAGCTATTGCTGTTAGAGCAGGTAATCTGTCCTTACCATAACTTGTAAGAGCCTTAAGGTGGCTTTCAGAAAAATTATTTTATACATTTTAGCCGTTTCAGAAATGGAACAGTTCCAGAAATAAGGCAGTAGTTCTCAATAGTGGATGTTCTTAGACCTTGATCAGTGCACTAATGTGTCTCACATTAGTGTATGTCTCAGTCTTTTTTAACAGCATCCCCATGACTGATGCAACATCAGTCACAAGAATTGCACTGGAATTGAATCCAGCATCTGGAGTGCCTAAGATAAGGCAAAGAATACTGTGTGCACTCTGCCAAGGAAATGTTTTCAATGCCTATTTATAAGGTGCATAAGCCTTTACTTTTAAACATACTAGATGTATAACCTAGCATTGTAACACCAACATATCCTTTAACAAGAGACTTAGTACTTTGTAACCTTGTGATCCTTTACTGAAAAAACTCAGGTTAAAGCACTATGGAAGCTGGGACTCTTTGCAGAAAATGAGGTGAAGCACTTGCAGATAAGCTGGAGAACTCGTGGTGTCACACATTGGCCTCATGTTTAAAAAACAAAACAAAAACCAACCAAACAAAACCAAAAAAACAAACAACCCCCTCTCGAAACACAAAAAATCAAAGAAACCCCCCAACCAAACAATAAAAACAAAACCAACAATGAAAAAAAACCCCACACCCTAGCAAAACAGAATCATATATATGTCAGAATCTTACAGGCAGTGTGCTTCTCTAAAAGAACAAGCATATTTCTTATGCTGATCAGGAAGAACTTTTAGATGCTGTTGCTCCTGGAACTGCTATTGCAGAAAATTTTTGTGTTTTCTTTAGTCTGAGTAGTCTGAAGTTTCTTCATAGAGCTGATACACTTTGCTACAAACATGCACATACCTGCCTTGCTCTTAACTACATGTGGCAGGAAGTCTTTCTGTTCCAGCACTGTTTAAGGTGTTCAGCTGTTCATCTGATATGGCATTTTCTTAGTCTATGGATGGTGGAAATTTCCATTTTTTCTTATTAAAAAGGACTGATGAAAAGTACAATGTACTCCAGTACTGGGTGGTGTGTATTTTTGCCTTAAACTTAATATTGTCACTGAAAATATCACTGAATAGGTCACTGTACACAGAATTTCAAATTGCCAGTTCTGACTTCCCTGCTTGGCATTTTTCCTCTTTCTCCTTTTCCCCTCAATTTTTAACCTTACTCTCTATACATACATATACATATACAGATATATATATATATATACACACACCTCGTTGATTGCTTTCTTGTTTCTTCACTCTCCTGCAGATCACCCTGTGTGAAAGGGAACATGCTCTGTCCTGCAGCACACCTCTTCCAGCTGCAACCAGGTTTTGTACTGACTTGAACTTAGTTGCAGGGCAGACATCTTTGAGATGTTCTGATCATTCTGTATTTTCCGTGTTCTGTCCTGCTGCTGTATTTCTTCTTTCTTTTCTTACCCTCTTTTTAGATGGAACTGAAAGAGTGAAGAAAATACTTCTATTTGTTTTGTACACATGACAGAGCTTTGGTTCATTCTTATGGTTTTCTGAATGTTTGTCTCAGTTCTTCTCACAAAGCAGGAAGAAAGAAAATGTATTAGACTAACGTGATCCTAGAACAGCCAAAGTAATCGGGGAATGTTGGGCAGATGCAGTATCTTGAAAGAGAAGGGTCAATATTTCTATTGCATGTTTTAAGGTGACTCTGTCTCTTTAACTAAAAGCCTGCAAAATCTTTAGGGTAAATGATGTTTTCAACATTGTTTGACCTTCATGGTAGAGTTCGTTCATAAAATGAACTTTCTTGAACAAAGAGATGTGCCAGCGTGGCTTCTGGGAAGCTGAGTGACTCAGAAATCGGTCACTTCATTGGGTGGGTCATATGGATGGCGTAATGAAAGGTTGATTTGTCTGAGTAGATGCAGTCAGTTACTGAAGTGGTAAGAAAGTCAGATCACTTGGTTACATTCCATTTGTTTGAAAGAGTTTTGCCAGTTTTGGAGTTGGATGTGATCCAAAGCAGTTGTGCTGGAGATTTGCCTGCTCTGGCAGTCTTTGGAGAGCCCAACTCTTAATGCAGTTATCTGCATCTGTGCAGGTCAGCAATCATAAGTTAGGACCTCTCAGGAATTCAGAGGAGCTAAGCTAATTTGCCTTGCAGTTGTGGGTGTAGATAGGTAGTATTACTAAAATGTGGTCTAAACATGCATAAATTGTGTCTTTCTCCAGCATCAAGCAGGAGAAGCTTTACTGATGCAGACTGCAGCTTCTGATATGGAAAACCCATAGAAATGAGTTTGTTTCAGTAACAGGTCACCTAGAAGAATCTGTGAGCTGGCAGGGATCAGTTATAGCTTATCTGGGGAGCGTTTGGAAAGTTTGCCATCACTGTAAATGTCTTGTGAGAATTTTATTGCATCAGAGTTAGTACCTTTACAGAATTGTAGAAGAAGGGCTTTATCTTCTGTTTTCATTGATCTGACTGTAATCAAAATCTAAAAATATTCTTCCAAATATCCCTTGAAGCACAAGTATGTTTTAACTGTCATTGGAGCAGGACAGTAATTTGTGTTGATCATTCAAATTCTCATTGTCTGTGTGGAGGTGATTCAGTTGTGATCTTGCAAGAAATTTGATTTTTGCATTGGAAATCGTATGTGCGAGTTTGTACCTAAATAGTACCTAAATGAACTTATTGTTGAATTGTAATTACAATATAAATTCATGCCTGCTATATGGTATATTAACTGCAATTAAAAAAAACCCCCTGCTTTAACAATACAATAGAGAGTAGTCTGATCCTGATTCCTCTTGCTTTATTGCCTTGTAGAGAAAAATGTGAATAAATGGCCATCTAAAAGAGCTCCCAAGAGATGGTGTAGAGAATAAGGACATACACCACATATGTATTTGTAGACAAGGAGAGAGCATTCATGCTGAAGAGTATGGTTTTCAAAACAACTTCTCTCCAGCAATGAAAGAATTTCCTGAGCCTGTAGCTGTCTGAGTTAGAGGACCATGTTTGGTCTCTAGGTGTACGTACAGAGTCTGAGGTCAGGCATTCAAACCTAAGTGTTTCCACAGGGTTTAAATTGGTGTCTTCATTACAAGCTGTATTGTGTGCAGTCTCTTCCCTTTATGAAGATGGAGATGCGTTGTATGCCCAAAGAATGTGAGTTGTGATACCATCTTCTAGGTCTAGTTCATCATATGAGGAAAAAGTCTCTGAATTCAGTTATTCTGTGCAATTCCTGCTCAGGGAGAGGTCCAGAATTTTTGTGTGTCATAAGAGATGGGATCTTATATATGGACAATCACTTATTTTAGTCCTTTCTGTAACACTGTTCTTTTTCAGATTCTGAAAAGTTATTTTTAGCTTTTATAGTTGCTCACCTGAACTTGATGAGAGTAACTAATGCAATGATACGTTCTCTGTTTTACACATCAGAACCAATAGCTTTAGGAGTTGTGAAGTGCTTTGTGCCCCTAAGAGGTGTATTAGCTCTGAAATCTACAGCAGCCTTTTCACTGTTAACAGCATTTTACTCTTTGCTTTCTTAACAGGAGCAGCTGATCGATGGTTTTTCCACAGCCTCGCTACTGCCTCTCGAACCAGGTGCCCTGAAGCTAAATTCTTTTCCCTAGTTTAGCTAAAACTGTTCACAAGGCCTATTTTTCAGGGACAGGTATCATATTGTCAACGCTGTATACAGGGTCTGTTGTTGTAACAAACTAAAACCAGAGTTAATTGCTACTATAAATTAATTCCTCCTACAAAATTAATTGCTATGAAGTATAATTTTATTCCGTTTATTTCCTTGTCCAGATTATGTTTGGACAGATGCCCTCCTTTGTCTATTGAAACATGAAAAGCTAATAAAAAGTATTAAATTATGCACTAAGAATAGGCATTTAATAAAGCAGATGCCAGTGGTATTGTCGAGGCAAGCTACAGTAAAGTACTGGTACAGAAGAGAGACTGCCTATTGTAGAGAGACTGCCTATTGTAGACATTTTATTTTCCAAAACCTGGCCAAATAAATGGAATTACCTAAGGAAGAAACTTTATTAAAAAGTTGGTCATGATATTACTCAAAGGTTGGAAGCATTCTTTGATGTCTAGTTGAAGGGTATATGTGCATAGGATAAGGTTTAAAGTGAGGTTCTATGCAATTACGTTTTACAGGCTCGATAATGTGAAAGACAGATATCCTGTTCGCCTGAAGTTAACTCCAAGCTGACCTCTCACTGCAAGTGGACAGTTTCTCAAAGATGAGGCTTGGTGGAGCAGCTTCTCACTACCTCAACTATGGAAGGCCAGCTCTGTGCTAACCTGGACAGTTCTGTGAAAAAACCTCCAGGAGCAAGGCCTCCGTCCTTCATTGCTTTGCTGAAGGTACACCGAGAGCTCCTGGTCAGTAGAATCCGAAACACTCAGTGTTTGATTGATAACTTGATTAAGAACGACTACTTCTCCACCGAAGATGCAGAGATTGCTGTCCAGTTTCCTACTCAAGCAGATAAGGTGTGATTTTTATTTCACTAGCCACTGAAGCTTTTGGTTACTTTTGGTTTTACCACCAGTTTTTATGGGTTTATCTGGCAATTTTACATGTCGTGTATTTTCTACTCTTTGTTATTTTGGAGTTGCCCCATCCCCTTCCTTCTGGATGTGTCTCCAGCACATCTCTTTCCAACATGGCTGGCACTGCTTGTAGTGCCCATTGGCAGCTGTAAGAATGAGCAAGGTGATAATTGCTGTTCTGTCTCTCCCAGCTGCAGCTTTGTACTCTGCTAAGGAGGTGTCCACAATGGTTATTAGAGTGTTGCAAGGAGAATCTGCTTTTGGATGCTGTGGGACAGATCATCGTGGTTTTGGAGGGACAGAAATTAAATATTGTTTTAGAAGTTAATGACTGTGTTGTCTGTATGCACACCTTCCTTTCTCTTTAAAGACCTATGTATGTTGTAAATGTTATGGAAAATTGATATATCCTGGCACATTTGGGATTTTAATTCATCTTTGGACATCAGTAGCAAAAATTATTTCCTGGTCTTTCATTAGGAGAAAATTAGCATGTACACAATTGCTCTTTGCATCATAACTTGAAACAGCTGAGGAGATTGTTTCCCAGACCAAACAATCATGCAGCTTCTGAATGCTGTCACAGTTAGGGGCAGGCAAATCATAAAAAATTCAGAGACCTTGGACTTCACTAACAGTGCAGATTTTCATAGAATAATCATTCTTGCTGGCACATTGAAATGGTAACACAGTGCTCACTCTGTGTATAGGGTCAAAGCTGAATAAATGCACACTGTATGATTATCTCAATTTCTTATTGTTCAGCATAATATGCATGATTGTTGTAGCAAAGCTGAGGGGGAGGCCACGCATCAGAAGTCTAAGCAGAGACAGAGAGCAGGCCACAGTAGCATATGTGAAGCGGACTCTGTGGGAACTTCTCTGGAAGGCATAAAATTGCTTTTTGGAGCATACAAATTGTCAGAAAAAGCTCCATGTGTTTGCTGTGCTGCATGTACCTCACCCTGCTTTAAGCTCACAAGAGACCACAGTCTCTGGAAACCCTCTGTGTGGTTTAGGACTGAATTCTTCATTCATTTCCAGCAAGGGGACCAAGACATTCCAAATGTGCCCCCAGATGATTGCTCTGTCTTGCGGAGGGTCTTGTACTAGGATTACTATGTTTTGGTGCACAGAGATCACACTCTACCTTGCCTCTAGAGGTGACACTTAGTCTTGAACTGCTCCAGCCACTGCCTGGTAGCCATTAGTTTTGGTGACAGCTGCAAGGCCATTGTATAGACAGAGCCTGAAGAATTGAGTTACTGTGTTAAATGGAAGAGCTGTAGAGTTTTGGCTCAGTGTTAAGATCCAGAGGGGAATTCTGCCTACCCTGCTCTGGATCTGGATGGATCCTGAGGTAAACCCAAATGTGACTGAAGTATTTATGAAACAGAGGGTGAATTCAGGGCATTGAGAAACCACTACTTTTTTTTTTATTATTTTAACCAGCAAAGGATTTAAAATATACCATCTAGCCAAGCTGAGGAAATCCTTTGGGTTCCCTTTTGAGGAGTGGTATTTATCCATTTTGTTTCTGGTTAGCATATGATTTAGCTACAAGTTCAGACCTTCAGAGCCAACTCTCTTGCAACATCCAAATACAAGCAGCGATTGAGTTCTATGATGGTTCAAATTCAGAGCTAGATTTTGCATTCATGTTTTTGAAGTACCAGTTTTGATTTTTGTCGCCTGCTCCAGTCCGGAAGGGATCCTAAAGCAGTCACAAGTGTTACCGTCATCAAATGCTGTGTTACCAATGATCTTTCACGTGGTGTTTCTTCAGGTTCGCAAAATTCTAGACTTGGTTCAAAGCAAGGGAGAAGAAGTTTCAGAATATTTCGTCTATGTCCTGCAGAAAGTCACTGATGCTTACTATGAACTTCAGCCTTGGCTGGACGAAATAGGTTACGAGCCTTCAGAGAATATTTGTAGTAAACCTGTGGTAAATACAGATCCAGGTAAGGTCATACGTCTCTATCCCTTCCCTTAGAACTACCTCGCTATGGAGGAAGCTCCAATCAGGTGACAGAAGAGTAACTTCATCTGATGTCGTAAATGATCCTATTCTCAGCAGGAAGTAGGACGAGATCTTCTGAAGTCTCTTCCAACCTGAATTATTCTGTGATCCTAAATGATGAGCTATACTGAAAGTCAGAGTTTAGGTACTGCAGAAATAAATTATTTCCTCCTGAGAGGTTTTTTCCTACTACATTAATACAAGACTTACTTTGTCCCCATCTGAAGTGAAGTTTCTGGTGCAATAAAAGCACAAGCCAACATTGCACAATAATTGAGATTCTCAGTTTTTTGTCATCTTAAAAAAATCTTTTGAGGTGCCTGGGACTTGGTTTCTAAAATGCATGCCTTCTATTTACAATAATATAAATGACCAAACAAGTCAGGCTAGAATTGCAGGTAGAATATAAATAAAGTGAAAAGGCTAATCAGTGACTGACAAGTTGAACAAGCTTTTGCAGCAAGTAAAGCAGCCTTTAACAAAGGGTCAGGGGCTTGGCTTTGAGTCTCAGCTGAAAGATAGGAGCCCCTTAAGCCAATGCAGCATCAGTAGTGGCTTTCAGGTAGTGGTGACTCAAGTGACCTTTCATTAGCACCTGAATTTCCCCAATGAGTGATGATGGCAGCACAAATAGAACTAATCTGACAAAGAACTGTTTTTACATGAGAATTCCTTTTGCTTATTACCCACTCTGAGTTCCCAGGAGATGGGTCATCGTCTACATAGGCTTTTTAATAGTAGTTCACTGTCTTTTCAGTTAGCAGGTATTGCCAGAAACTCAGATATGAACTGGGACAGGATTCCAAGTTTGTTATGTCATACGCTCAGAGGGAGGAAATGCTGCTTGAAGAAATCTACTCTAACAGCATCATGGAGCTGGTCAGTTTTACCAATGAGAGTCTTGGCCAGGTGGGTCAATTAGAAACCCTTTTTGATGATACAGTTGGACTAATTAATGAAGATGGAGAGACTGTTTATATTTATGGTGATGCAGGAATTGGAAAATCCATCTTGCTGCAGAAGATACAAAGCCTTTGGGCCAGAAAAGAATTGGACATAGGGGCCAAATTTTTCTTCCGTTTTCGATGTAGGATGTTTAGTTGCTTTAAGGAAGATGAAGCCATATGTTTGAAAGACCTGCTCTTCAAATATAATTGCTACCCAGACCAGGACCCCACAGAAGTGTTCCATCACATCTTGCAATTCCCTCATACAGTCCTCTTCACGTTTGATGGCTTTGATGAGATCTATGCCAACTTTGATCTCAGTAGTGTACCTGAGATATGTTCACCCCATGAACCCATTCACCCCTTGGCACTGCTGGTAAGCCTTCTCAGGGGAAAGCTTCTTAAGGGATCCAAGAAAATTCTCACAGCGAGGACAGGAACTGAGATCCAAAGAAACATCATTAAAAAGAAAGTGTTGCTCCGTGGTTTCTCTAGCAATAACCTGAAGGAATACACTGCTATGTTTTTCAAAGATGAGCGGCAACGAACACTGGTATTGAACCAGTTGGAAGCTAACCCCAATCTTTGCAGTTTGTGTTCAGTGCCTTTATTTTGTTGGATTATCTTTAAATGCTATGAACACTTCCATTCCGTGCTTGACAGCCATGAGCTTCCAGACAGTTCTGTTACACTGACAGATGTATTTTTGCTCATGATTGAAGTTCATCTGAACCGATCTCTGAAAACAAGTTTGCTGAAGAACAGCATCAGGAGCCAAGCAGAGATGTTCAAATCAAGAAAGGAAACTCTTCTAGCTTTGGGTAAAATGGCATACAAAGGGTTGGAGAACTCTTTCTTTATCTTTGAGCAGGAAGAGGTCTCCTCAGTGAACATCTCTGAAGAAGATTTGCAATTGGGCTTTCTCAGGACAGTTAAAGGTTACAGTGGTTGTGACAGTCAGGCCACTTACGAGTTCTTGCACGTAACCCTTCAGTCTTTTTTCACAGCTTTGTTTTTGGTTATTGAGGAGAAAGTGGGTGCCAAGGAATTACTTGAGTTTTTCAATGAATGCTCTTTCACTGAGACTGCCCAGCCTACTTGCCTTCGCATACCTTGGCTGAAGAAACAACTAGCAGGGGAGGATCCTTTCGGAAATAAGGAACACTTTAATTTTACCAACATGTTTCTTTGTGGCCTTCTTTCTGGATCCAAGCAGAAGCTCTTCAGGCATTTAGTTTCACCTGCAGTCCTTAAGAGGAAGAGAAAAACACTCATCACATACCTTGGGGGGAGCATGAAATCCCACCTGAAAGGCTACACTCGGTCCAGGCTTACAAGCTACAATCAGATCCAGGTCCAGCCCAACTTTGTTTGGATGCTGAGGTGCCTTTACGAGACTCAGAGTGAGAAGGTGGGGAAGATGGCTGCCAAACGCATGCACGCCAATTACATCAAGCTGGCGTACTGCAATGCCTACTCTGCCGACTGCAGTGCCATCTCCTTTGTGGTGCATCACTTTCAGAAGCGCCTGGCTCTGGATTTGGACAACAACAACATCAACGACTATGGAATAAAACAGCTACTACCTTGTTTCAGCAAGCTTGCAGTGATCAGGTAGGAGTCTTTGTAAGCAGGTCCTTTCTTATCCTTGGTTAATTTCACAAACTGGTGAGCTGAAGGAATTGATCTAGGAAGTGGAAAAAGATGGGAATTACTGCTGCTGGAAGTTAAAACTGCAGATCTTCTGAAATCTTCATTCATCCAGTCATAGGAGCAGGGATACTCTGGGAATTTGGAAACTGAAATGGAAAGGGTTATAAGAAGTCCTTAGAAGCCAGGACTGTTTAAACCTGTAGGTTTAGTCAGCTTCATCTCAAATTCTTTTGTTTCAAAAGAGGTTTTTTTGAAAGTGCTTAGGGGAGAAGAAAGGAAACATAAGTGCATCCCCCATTATCTGAAGATTGCCTGAGCCTATCTCTGCCCTTTGGTCATATGGGGTAAAGAAAGGATCTACTACTCACAATAACCCATGATCAAAAGCTCTGAATTTCTTGCTTTTCCACCCTGCCAAAATGTCTGGCTTTCACAGAACAAAAAGCTATCATGTAGTACTCCTTGAAAAGATGTAGCTGAAGTCTGTAGGTGAGGTAGTTCCCTGAAGTGATGTGGAGGTAGGACATGGCTGTGATCAAGGAGGACATGGTGTGATCAGGGAGAACTAACTCCACCTCTAACATCACAGACCATGTTGTTTCACCCCCAGCCTTTTGAGGCTGTGCTATGTAACTATATCTTATTTGTCCAAACATTTAGGTGCAGAAAATCAGGAACTTCATATATATCTTTTTTAAAGCTCCTTCAGCCCAGGAGAATTTATTTTTTTTAACAACTGGATTTATTCCTCCTGTTTGGCTGTGCTCTGCCTTGTTTTCCTCTAAGACTAAATCAAAGCAAGTGACTCTTGTTTTTTCCGGTTAGTAGCAAATTGACTGGCCTCCCAGGAGAAAGCAATAAGGAAACTTCTGGGGAAAATGCATAAGTATGTAAAACAAAAAAAGAAGAAAAGGCCAGCCTTTCATTCTTTGTCCCTATTGTGTGATTATGCCATACCCAGTATGATCTTAGCACCATACCTAGCACCAAACACATCTGTTAGGTTGCCTTTTTGTCTTTATGGATCTTCAGATGTTAGGACTTTAATTTCTAATGACCAATTTCTGCAGGCCAGGAAACAATGTTTCAGCAGCTTAACTATCCCTGTCAAAGAAGCAGACTGTTCTGATCTATAGAAATTGGCTAATTTCTCCTACGTGCTCATGCATTCCAAAGGGACCCAGTTACTAACTAGCAAAGGCCAGGGAGACTGTTGATGATAAGGGACTCTCAGCAGTGAATGTTCAGCTACTGTTTGTGTAGTAACTAAAGCTGATCAAAATGTTTTCACAGGGACAGCTTTACACACAAAATGTAATTCATCAGAATTGGAATACTTCACTTGAACTTGTCCATTTAGTCAAGGTGAAAAAGCTTGAGAAGTTACCAAAAAAAGCAACAAAAACAACAACAACAACAAAACCCCAACTGTGAGGAGAAGTATTTTTATTCTGTGAATGACTGACATTGATTTGTTTCATGTCTAGCTGGGACAACAAAATTAGAAATGTCTAGCACACCCATGGGACTGCAGTTCTATTTTCTGGCCAGGGCTTTTCACAATCTTTATTCTGTGAAGCCTGAATGTGTTGAGACTTTCAAGATGCCTGGCTTTCACTAGGTACTCAGAGAGAAGGCTGCAAGAGTAGTAGTCTGCACAGCTTGATTTTGCTAGGATGTTAGGCAGACTTTCTTCCTGAAATCACAATAAGCGCAGGCGGAGGTGAGATGTTTATCTGGTGTCTGACTTCCTATGTTTTATTGTTTTCAGTTCTATGGAAAGGTTCCAGAGAATTACCTTGGAGATTTGAAGCTTTCTGGTTTTTATTGGTTTTGAAGTGAGCCATATGAAACTAAGCTCACATTTCCCTTAATGGCTTTTAATACAGACCTGTTAAATTATCAGAGGAAAATGCATAGACCTTCAGTCATTTGTTAACTCATGGGTGATGAACACTTGTAATCTGTATGGATTTAAAGTTTCTTTTCATTCCCCTCATTCCAGGCTCAGTGTAAATCAGGTCACAGATCATGGCGTAAGGATCTTGTATGAAGAACTCTCCAAGTACCGAATTGTGTCTTTCTTGGGGTATGTACCATTTCGGACCAGAATGCTAGATATTGAAACTAGAAAATAAAAATCCAATGCTGACAGTACTAATGCAGCAGAGGTGGGGTGGAAACTACAGTTACCTCCTCGTTAACTGACCATAAGCAAAGCAGCATTTTGTGTCAGAAATTATTCAGCTGCCACCCTGTAACAGTTCACTGTGGTCCACAGCTTCGTCTCCCATCACGGGCTGGCCCCCTGCTGACATCAGACCCTTCTGTGACACAGTGCAGACCACTGTCAGGTTACTGAGTTGTGTGGGCATCATAGTTTTATACCTAAAGCCTTCTGATGTGGAGGAGAAAGAGAGTACAAGCAAGAGAGCATGTGCTTTGTAGCTAGAGCCTGTTGTTTTCTCTACTGATTTATTTCAACTATGCAAAGCAGATAGAGCTTGATAGGGAGTAGTATCAGGAACATAGATTTTCATGTGTCTTGCTCATGGTACCAATTTCTTTCAAGAACTTAATTAGTCCTTAATCAAGTTAAAGCTGGAAGGCATGTTAGCTCTGACTGCCAGCTCTTGGTTTAGTAGCTACATAAAAATGACTTTTTGAAAGGTGAACATGAATACCAAGAATAGCTTTCTTCCTCAAGTGCCCTAATGTAAGTACAACTGCTCAGGTATCTGATCTTCAGTAATATTTACAAGGGGATTTTATGACTTTTAAAAGACCAAAAGTACGTTATAGTGTTTCCTTTTTTGACTTATCTTCTGGCAATATTATTTCTGTACTAACACAGGAATAAAGGGAAGCTTTGTTTGCTTGGGGAGATTTATTATTAAAAAAAATATAAATATTTTCTCATGATTTGCAGTCTGGTCTCCTTGTATTTTTTATCTAGCCCTTCACAATATGAATTATATATCAAAATAGAAATGCAAGCAACTGTGAATATGTACAAAGCCATACAAAAAAGATAGATGCTATGTGTGCATCATAAAATATTCAGGTTTTAAATATTTAACAGCAGGAATAACCTATTTTTACCAATGTGATTTTTCTTTAAGCTTATACAGCAATCAAATCACTGATGTCGGAGCCAAATATGTTGCAAAACTAATTGAAGAGTGTTCAAGCCTGGAATATGTTAAGTATGTTAGATTTTTTTTCTTTTCTCCAGGTAAAGCAGCTTGAAAGGCGAGGGAGAGTAGACAAAAGACAAAAATTGTATTTGAAATAAAATATAATTTAGGCTGCAGTTGTATGTTCTTTTGCAGGGGATGGCAGCAGGGGAAACACTTGAATCCATAGTCTTTTCTGGAATATAGCAGTAAGTTAAAGGAGTGCATGAGACCTTTTCTTTACCTAAATCCAATCTGAGCACCTGAGCAAGGCATAAGTTGTACATGAACCTTGCTGCCGCTTCCAGTAGGCAAATTCCCTTGGATTTAGTACCAAGCTTCTTAGTATCTGCTTTTTCATGGGCCACTGGAGTCAGGCTGTGCTGGTGTCATAGCTCAACTCAAATTCACATGGTGAGTTGTTCCCTTTAATTCCTAGAACTTCCCCAGATAAGAGCATCTGGCCACGCACAACACTGGTTTGACATAAAGGTAGATCATTAACCAATGGTTTAATTGTGACCATAGCAGAAAATAGAGGTGACTGCAGCAATGTCAGCTATTGGTATGAGTGTAGCAACTGGCAGCCAGGGACTCTTGAGTTCTAGTCCTTGTTCTACCACTAACTTGATCTGAAACCCCATTATAGCCACATCCTTCACACTTGAAATATTTGCAGAATTTTGAAACCCAAGAGCACTTTGGTTCTTTTGCTGCTTTGACACAGTGCTTTGCTTATTTAATATCACTTTCACAAAAAAACCTTGTTGACAGATGGTTACTTTCAACTCTCATAGTAATCCTAGCAATTATTTTGAGACAGAGTGCATGTTCATGTGCCTGAAGTCAAACAAGCCAATTTTATGTCAGTGTAGTAACTTGAGGGGTTTCAGAGTTTGGTCTGTTCTTTACATCCATCTATATGCAGTTATCCCTTCCTTGAACTCCAGCCATTTGATATCCACATAGGCTAAAAATAGAAAAGGCCTTCTGTAGAATGCCAGCCAGAGACACTCACTGCTGCATTGACCTGTGCCACTGCCTACAGCCCACACTTAGAACAGAAAGACACGAAATTATTGCAGTCTGTGCTTGTCAGCTGTAGACTCCCTTGAACCCACACAATCATGAAAATTTCTGTTCCCTGTGGCATCATGAAACATGCTGCATGTAATTCATGTGCTCTGTAGCAACTACTGATACTATGAACTATACTAAAAACTAGGCCAGGGTCCTTGCCTTGAGGATCAGTTCCTAAAGCTCATTTCTAACACACTGAGCACCAAATCCAAGCTTCTACTGTAATATTTCTGATTTGGAGCACTGACATGCAAAATAAACAAAAGACAATGTAAAATTATGTCTTTTGATCAAAAGTCAAGTGTCTCCAGTATTTTTTTGCTCTAGGTTAATATTTGATAACTGTAGCTAGCCTCCGGAGTTAATTAGTGTTAATTACTTGTACGGCTTTCTGAGCTGATGTTCTAATAGTTGTACAGTTGTAAGTGATGTACCTCATCAATTCATGTATTTTGTGCAGAATAGGAGCAAACAAAATAACTAGTGAAGGAGGGAAGTGCCTTGCCCAGGCCATCCAGAAGAGCAAGACAATGTTTGAAATCGGGTAAGTTTGGTGCTAAGGAGCAGACCTTGGGGCTTGATTTTGGCAGGGCATCTATAAATCCATTAGGATTCCTTTTTTCATTCTTACCTTCTCTTCTCCTGCTATTCCTTTCCCCCCTCAACAACAGTATTAGAACAAACAAGTGTAGAAGCACAGCCACGTTTTCCATGGAAGAGGAGAGCTGCTTTGTTGTTCTTCAGTTCATACAATGTTTGTTTGGGTTTTGGTTTCTGGGTTAGTTTTTTTCACTGCTCTGTCAGAGCCTTAAAGGAGAGACAAACAAGAGGACATTGTGTAAAGATAGCCACTTTATGGCAACACAGGTCCTCTAGAGATACCTGGCTATTTTTAAGTCTGTGTGGGTTTATGACTATTGGCACTGTACCTAGTTATTGAGTGTCATTGTTACATTGTCAAACCTTCTGCATGACATCCTGATAAAGTTGTGAGCTGAGAGAATAAAAAGGAATTCACATCATCCATCTCTAGTCTGTCTGTCCCTAACTGGAGAGTCTGCTATTACTGTAGGTCTGAACGTACTCTAAACCTTTAGTTCCTGCCCTCTTACTCAGGAAAGGTGCTAGGTTTGATTTATTTTATTTTATTTATTTTTTCCCCCTTCTGGCAAATCCCAGTTTCTCTTTTCACTTTACAGGAGAACATATTTCTTAAAATTTAATACTTAAATACATGGCATTAAAACCTCTGTTTGACCATTGTGAAAATCATAGTAACCTTGAAATATGAAAATCAGATCTGAACAATCAGATTTTTGGCCTTTAATTCTGTTCTACAACATTTCAAAATACAGTGCACAGCCTGCACACTTCCATACAGCTGGGTCTGCTGTTCTGTACTTGCTGTAATTTCAGTGAAGGACTCCTATTTCCTCCTGCAGAGGAAATAATCACTCCAAATGGATTTAGGATAGCTTGGACAGAGAGGTTTAAACAGATATATTCAACGTTTACAGAGCAAACTGCACTGGGTCTGAAGGACAAGGAAATTCTGGGGAACTTACTGGAAGTCCACGTGTTTAGATGCCACAAAGCTCAATTGATTTTAAAGGAGCTGCCAACTAATTACCCATCAATCTGAGTGTGGCTCTGAGTCATCAAGCCATGATCTCTGTAAAAAATCCAACGACTTAGACCTCAGCAGAGGTGCTTTGAAACCTCAGAATAGAGGGTGAATTTTCAAAGTGGTTAGTCTGCCTAGAAAGAATTTAATCAGATACTCCTTGTAAATATTGATCAAATCTCCCCAGCTTGTACCATGTTATCTTCTCTTAAACCTTTGCTTTGTTTTGCCATTGGAAACACTATTCCACAAATGTGTGAAAGAGCCCGGTTTTGTACTGTCTTTGTGAAATTTTGATCTTTCTCTTGGCAGCTGTTGGGAGAGGAGATGTCACTTGGGTATAATGCTGAAGTGACAGTAACCATTTTACCAGACTATTTTGAAGGAGAAGAGGAGCCTGTAGGGTAGTTCACTTCAGAAAATCTCCTGTTTGGCTGTGGGTCCCCATGCAGTTGTGCATCTGGGGAGTCTTTCCAGGACCTGTGCTTTGCACTGTGTAAAGGCCAGTCTGTGCCCAACAGGTAACAGAAAAATCACAGCCAGGATATGGGAAGGAAACACTGAGCAGAAAATGATAGGATTTAGGACTTGGTGTGTTTCTCACATCAGCTCGCTGTACAAGACCTCAAGACACCTTTACCCCATAAGGGTAGAGGGCTGCAGAGGGTTTTCCCAGTGCAGCAAGGTGATCCCAAAAGCACTCCTGCTGCAGCAGACTGTCTCCTAGAGCTGGTTCTGTGCTGTGGCCTTAGGGTACTGGTGAGTCAGCAGAGGCTGGTGGTGTGATGTGCAGGGAGTGGAACATACCTGGCTCAGCAGGGAGGGTACCTGCCAGGTGTCTCACAATCCTGAAAGACTGGGAAGTAATCAGGGAGGAGGGGAGAGGAGAGAAAAAGGGAGAATGCAATCCCAGTAGTCAGTAGGGCAGCATAACTGATATCTCCTGGTTTCCTCTCTTGACTAGGATGTGGGGTAATCGAGTTGGAGACGAAGGAGCAAAGGCATTTGCAGAGGCCCTGAGGAACCACCCCAGGTTAACAAATGTGAGGTAAAACACTATCAAAACCAGGGAGCTTGTTGTAGGGGTGGCTTTTCCATCATGCTCTGAAGCAATGACTCTCCCCACCAACTGAGAGCTTGGAATGCCATCTGGTATTGCAGCCTTTGCTGTAACCAAGAGGTTTCTGGTGCAAGCAAGAGTCCAGATTGAGTCAAAAAGCCCTGTGCAGCCATTAAGCAAGTTAAAAATACTGCAGGACTGGCATCCTTTCCTCTGTCTGCACATCTTCCCCTCATGCTGCACGGAGTTCTTGGCATTTGTGAAAGCACATGGTCAGTGGGTGCCATTTTGATCTGGGAGCACTAGCAGAAGGATGTCACAGAATCGGGCTCCAAGTGAACTCAGTGTGAACAGTTCCTATTGCGAAGGTGCAGCAGCTTTTAACAAATTAATTTTTAGGGGGATAAACTTGATAAGGACTGGGACATTCTTACATTTGGCCTCATCCTGTACTCCAATGGAGCTACAACACCACATATTCAGTGCTACTGCTAGTTCTCACTGGAGTACAGTGAAGCATCTCAAACTAGCCTTCTGGAAACCCTAACATGGCAGAAGTTGGAAGTATAGCAAAGGGAGAAGTCAGCACTGTTAAACAGCCCATCCCCTTCCTGACTCCCAAATGCTGGCTGGGGATTTAAAGATGCATATTGTGGCAGCTGCTGCTCGTTTGGAGTCCCTTCACACAGCTGGAGCACTGTGTTCAGGGTGATCCTTTCCATTTGTCTCCCAGGTCCACTGGCCTTCACAATGAAGGAGCAAACAAGGCTCCTTAATTTCCCCACAAGGTGGCACATGGCACTAGTTTCTTTAGAAATACTCTGTGAGTTTGGTGATCTCTGGAGAGTTTATTGCTGCCACTTCAGATCCAGGGATTTCAGAGCTGGTGTCTTGTCCTCGTTTCTGCAATCGGGTAGTCAAATTTAAAAATTAAAAGCTGAACAGGTGCAGTGACCTAAATATTTGAACTTAAAAGCCATCTGAAATAGTCATCTTCCCATAATTGCACAATCCATCCAGACGCATCAGACTTGAAAGAAAACATTTTGAACTTGAATCAGAGCTCAGGGATTCTCAGAGAGCAAATATGCTGATGAATGTGTTTGCAAAAATAAGGAGGAGTAAGTGTGCTATCTCCAGCTTGGTTTTGCTGGCACTTGTGCAGTGTGAATCCTCTGTTCTGTATTGTATTTGCACTTGGGTTTATTTCTTATCTTCCATTGGTTAATCTTGCTCCATGATTAGAATTCATAGTTAGCACCAGTGGTATCTTTTTGTGAAGATTAAGGGAAGATAATCCCTACTGCATCAGTTTATTTTATTTGCCTTTTTTAGGCCCAGTCATTACGGACTGAGAATATCTAGTTTCAGCTGAAGCTAGGAGGGACTCATGCTAATACATACTTGTGTAATTGCTCTACTTGATTCCATTTTATACCTTTTTTGAGACTTTGAATTATTTTAAGAGGGGAGATGCTTTTTGAATTTTGAAAGCCTGGAACATAACTTTAACTGGATGATTTTGCCAATGTCTATTCAAAGAATGAAGGGCAGACTAAGAAATGTTTGTGGTTTGTAATGGAAAGTATTTACAAGCTCATCTGTCCATACACAGCAGGTGTTGTATTTGGAAGATGAATGAGGTATTGGGGCATCTGAAGGACTGAAAGGACAAAGTGCCCAGTTTGTACAGGGACTTGGGATGAAAAAAGCATGTAAAAACCTATGTACTGCTAAGTGTAACTTTTTGTCCTTGTTAAAAGCCTTGACTCTCAAAATCACTGGGTGCAACTCTTCTGTCAGTCTCAAGAGCATCACTCACTGACAGCAAACCTGATGGCCTCTATGATAGACCTGCACCCAGGCTGCAGCCCGTGAACTGTTCTCACTTGTAAATCATAAGGACTTACTGGTTTGCAAAGTATGTGAGCCTTTGAAACATACAAATGCTGAACGGTACAACTGGGAAGCAGATCATCCAGGATATTCACGAGTATTTGGCAGTGAAAGGGCCAAGTCATGCTGTTTCTTACACATTTGTATCTTTACTTCACAGTCTCGCATTCAATGGCATCACGACAGAGGGAGGCAAAAGTATTGCTGAAGCTATGCAACACAACAACTCCGTGAGAATATTCTGGTATTTGACAGTGTGGTCTCCTTCTCCTCTTCTTTCTCCAGAGAAAACTGCAGCCTAATTTTATTTCCTCCAATCGCATCACCCCTGCTATCCTCCCTTTCTTCTCTCCCTTCCCTCATCCGCTATGCTTTCAGCATAGCTATAAGTTATCCCTTTGGAAAAATGTGGGCATGGTAATGGATCAGCAGCACCTGTCTTTTGGGACATATTCTAGTGACCTAATGTTATGCCTCACTCTTCTCCCTTCATCTTGCTTTCCCCTTTTTCTCTCATTTCCATCATCTAAAGTTAAGTTCTTTGTCCCCAGTTTTTGCACCTCTTGAGAGTTGTCTCTACCTCTTTACCTTTTCCCATTACACCTCCTCCACCTTTTAGACACTAAAGCATCTTGAGAAAGTATCACTAGAACATTGCTCAGAGAAACTAAGATCTGATACTTGTCTTTTTTACCTCCAGGGCTCTTCAGTATCTCTTTGTGTCCAGCCTTTACAAATTGCTCAGGGCAGGAACAGCCCTTTGGCTGTCTAAATCTAAGTCACAGTCAAGCTGGAAAAACAGGGGGCCAAAAAGTAATTACATCCTAAGTGAACATTTTTTCTCCCACTTAGGTTGACTAAAAATGAGCTGGATGATGAGGCAGCAATGAGCTTTGCAGAGATGCTAAAGGTCAACAAGAAACTGGTGCATTTATGGTGAGTTACATTCCACAGTGGCACAGGCTCTTTGGCAGTCACTACATTAAAGCTTCACCTTCCAAAGCTATGTAGGTCACAGTAAGCTTTCTGTCCATGGTCTGGATGCAGCTGACTGGTTGTAGACAGTTCTAACAGGAAGTTAGTAAAGCCACTGTCTAGCATTTTCAACCTGCTTTTATAGAGGGTAAAGTTTAAGCTGTTTGTGTGTCCTGGTAACTTTCAAACTACTGATTGATTTCATCTCTCATTAAGGGAACAGTACTGGCCTCAAACTGAAAGGTTTAAAAAAAAAAAAAAAAAAAAAGACGTAACCAGACAGCTAGAATAGAATAAGGTTATTATGATTCTTTCTATTTATCATCATACTATGAAAGTAGCTAGCTCAGCTCTTACCCTTCAACCAAGAACTTACATGACAGACACTTAAATACATGTTGCATTTGTCTGATGCTTTCTTCTAGGGCTAGAAATACACTCATGCAAGACACTCATCTCTAAGGCACAAATCCCCAGGAAACCAGGGGTTATTTCTAGCAATCACAATGAGACTTGTTACACTTCTAAGAAAACATAGTGTTAGCTTTTCTAATCCAGAGGTTCACAAGAATTTGTCGATGAATGAGGTTGGGCAGATGTGGGCTGTGAAACAAATAGCCATCCATTCATTTCAAGCAATCAAGAGAACATAAGAAATGGAGTCCCTTTACAGGCTTTATGAAGACTTTGCTAACCACGCTCTAGCACACTGCCTGTATTAATCCTAATTTCCACCCATTAGGAAGCATGCTGGTTGTCATGGGTGCCAAGTACTTACAGCCTCTTTTGAAAGCAGCAGAAGCTGTGGTGCCCATCACCCTGAAAATAAAAAGGAGGGGGGGAAGTGCTTGATTTCTTTGCACACAGCTGCAGATATAATTCACTGAGTAGTTTGGTTTGAATTCATAATGAAATTTTCCCCAACCAAAGCAGGTATAATAATCTAAATACATGTCTTTACCATGACTCTCAGTATTGTCCATGGGTTTCTGACAGTAGATAAATTTATATCCTACTTTGTTGGTTACACCAGTGGATACCTCCAAAAGCAGTGACCTAAATAGATAGCTGAACTTGAGGCAGAATAAAAATCTTTTTCCAGTAGCTGAAAGAATCTGCTGGAACCCTTTGCATTTTGATTCATTTACCAAGTGCAGAAAGTCCTTTAATGGGAAAACCCATCTCCCTCCCTCCCTTCCTCCCTCCCTGAAAGATTGTTCAATACACTCCAATTTTCAGCCTCATCCTGAATCCTGAGGGATTCATGCAACCAGTCACATGGAATGGTACAGCTATGGGGCTCACCATAGTAGACTGAAAGGTGGGTATTGAGTTAGGGTAGACTGATGAGACTTTTTATACTCATGCAGATGATAAGCCTTTCTTCATTTTTAACTCGGAGATGGTCTACAGTGGTTAATAAGAGTTACCTGCTGCTTCATCGCTTGGGCTACCTGAGGATTTTATGTGTCTTTTGTTTTTCCCTAAGCTCAGATGAGACATAATTTTTAGCTGCTAAGTTGGCTTCACTGGGACTGGCAACCTGCTCATACTGGAATCAAAATCAGTGCTTTATTTTTCAAAGGTCTTGTTGGTTTGATAAACAAGACAGGAGGATTTGGCAGCCTCTGGATCATAACTGCTAAAACACTAGGCCTACACAGAGTCTATAGTCAGAATTTTCTGTACATCACTTAAAAATGTCTCACAGTGTTTTTAGTAAGAAAAAAGAGCTAAGAGGTTTATCTGTTTCAGAGAGTCCAAATACCACAATCTCGTATCACTAGTGAACAGTTCATAGCAGAAATTTGTCAGCTGTGTAATTAAGCTCAGTATCTCCAGAATGCAAGATTAAAAGGAAAAGACTAATACTCAAATGTGGGGCATTTGGCCAATACTGTGTACCATTCTCATGGATAAAATCATAACCATCTTCTTGTGGGAGACAGCTTTGCTCCTTGATGTCAGGCTGAGCGTAGGTTATGCATGTGCTGCAAATTAGTTTGCATGTTAGTTTGACATGAAATGCTTTCTTTTTAGGCTTATACAGAATCAAATTACAGCCAAAGGGGTGAAGTGCCTCAGCGAAGCTCTCAAGGAGAACACGACCATTAAAGAAATCTGGTAAAGATCCCTTCCTCAAAGGCTCACTTGTAAACTTTCTTTCCCTTTAGAACACTACTGGCCTTACTATTTTCCAACCTAAAAAATTCAGAGCAAGTTTACGTGAGACAGGGGTTGTAGTTCCAGCTGTAGATTTCAAATAGGTAAAAAGCTGCTGCCATTTAAACATTTCCTTTTTTTTTAATTAATGTCAAGCAGTTTTCTTAGTTCACATACCACTGACTTGCACAACATGTGGGTTTGCACAACCAGGGCCTAAATTTATAGACCAAGTATTGTTTGTCCTGTGTTTTCACTTTTAAACTTCTGAACGTGCTCATGCTTTTCAGGACCTAAATCCCAACAAGCAGGAGATGGTTATATTTAATCAGCATTACTAATTTGGTTTGTAGAATTTGTACTTGGATTTTCTTTGGGCAGTGCTCCAAACACACTGAAAGTGCTAAGCTACAAGAAGATTAACTTTTTGTAGGATTTGTTTGTTTTAGATTAGGTGGGCATCACATAGTCACACATGTGCATTTAAGGCAGAAAGCCAAATACCACATTCCTTTTTTCACCTCAGAGAGCTCAGAAGTCAATAGAACTGAGCTGGTTTTAGCACTGTTACTTTATTATTGAATATGAAATTTATTTCTAAATATATATATTTGTTTTACTGAAAGGACACTGAATTCTTGCTTAAAAAGACAATGACTCACTGTCTGACTGGTGTATTCCCTAGAGATGTGAAAGAGGTGCTTTTTTCAAAAGCCACTGTCAGTATTTGTCTGTAGAAGAGGCATCAACTCCCACTCAGATAATTCTAAATGTTCAAAATGAAATCTGTCTTTTGATTCTGGCCTGACTGTTCAGAGGCATTCATTAACCCAAACAATTTCATAAGTCTAATGGTTTAATAGATTTCAACATTTCTGTAAGTAGCACTTAACCAGGCTGCTTATTTTCAGGGGTGTAAATATCAGTGTAGATTCACTTTACATAGCCAGAATTGAAGATTTTTCTATTGGTCATTTCACATTAATAATACCTGAGTACTTCACAGAGTTTTCTTCCCCTGTTGTCAGGGAAGACACAAAGTCCTCTGAGGACTATTTAAATTTCTTTAAACTGCATGGTAAGAACCTTTGTCAGCTATATGGTGCTTGCTGAAATGCAAACAGATGGGTTTCCAACACCAAGTTTAGTTACTGGAGTTTATGTGTGTGTTCGGTTTTTATTTCTGAAGGAGAAGCCTTGTTCCCTGTACGTGCAGTGGGAACAGCAGTGCTGTAGCCGGCCTGTCTGATGCCAGTTCCCAGTTGCATGCCTCTGAGAAGAATGCAGCTCACACAGCATTGCAAACCTGTGATCTCTGCTCCAAAACCTTGGAAAAATAGAAGATGGGCAAGTCACTACCTTACTTTCACATCCCTTTTATTTTTCCCCTCCAGTTTGAATGGGAACCTGATAAGCCAAGAAGAGTCCAAAGCTTTTGAAAATGAAGAACGGATCATTTGCTTTTGAATGAGGACATTTTGCCAAGTTCATTTAACAATGGTTACTCCTACTCTTGGACCACTGAGTTTATAAAGGCAGAAATCTACAGGGCTCATGGCAGGAGAGACATACATGATTAGCTGCCTTTTTATGAACATGCTGCTCTCCCTCAGCTCCATCCCTTATCCTGCTTGTTATTCCTAATCCTTTTGGTGAGTGGGAAGTTGCCTGGGTAAATAATTAATGTTTGTACAGTGCTTTGAAGATGAAATGCAAAGTGTTAACAGAGTAAATCCACTGTTATATGCATTTTGATAACTGAGTTTAGTTTTATTCTGTACAGTGGTGTAAATAATTTCTAACTTATTTATATCCGTAAATACATACACACACGTATATATATGCAAGAAAGGGTGCAAGGTGCACAAATTCCACCAGCTCACAGTATTACCTGCCTCAGAACTGAAAATTAATATCTGTAGCTTTACTGGAAACAGTATCTATACTATTGGTATGAATGTTTTCAACATGAATACCTTCCTCCTGCCTAGAAATTAGGCCCCTATTTCTCCGCTGACTACAGGCAGCATTGTAGACATTGCTTTTTTTTTCGTTTGGGTTTTTTTGGGGGGAGTAGAAACGGATACATCAGGCTCAGATTACTTTCAGTAATCTTTTTTTCCATATTGAAGGCAATCCATTTTCTTTTATACAACCAGAAGTCCTTACTGCCTTCACTGCAAAACCATAAAACTGTTAGTAAACCACTTTTGCTCAAAATTTCCAGAGGGCTGCGTGGAAACGGCTACCTCCTGTTTTCACAGTGTTTGTTCTGGGGAGGGGGTCTGGAGATAAATGTAAAAAATTAATTAGCAGGCTGTTCATTGCCTTGGCTCTTGGCCTAGACACTATGCTGGTGGCAATACACCAATATTACGTTGCCCAGCTTCATTGGGGAGGAAGGACAATTGACAATCACTAGCATCAAGTAAAAATCCCTTCTCCCAGCAACATGTAAGCACAAAGAAGGATTGCGATTTGCTTGGAAAGCTTTTAGTCTGAACTTGAATTAGGGGAAAGAGCAAGGCAAGAGGCAGGTAGTAATAATAAGGACTGGCAAGAAAACATTATACCCCACAAAATAATTATTTTTTAGGGAGTGTAACTTTAGATGCTCTTAAAAGAGCATCTATTGGATTTTTTTTTTTTTGGGGGGGGGGTGGAATTAGTCATGCTTTGTAAATTCAAACTACCCCATGGTGTAGGAACCTAAAATGGAAAAGCATGAGCCATTTTCCTTCCTTCTCCTGTGTTACCACCTGCCAAAACTTTGAGAAACAATTCTCCAGTAGCTGATTAACCCACAAAATCTTGGTAGGCTGGAAGAAGAATCTCCAGTTAAAATGCCAAACCGATGAACCCTCACCTTCCCGTGTCCCAAATCTGCCTCATGAAAGAAAGGATGAGAAAAGGCTCGCTTTATAGGTCAGAGCTTCTTCATTTCCTACATGGTAACTGACCTTTCCCAGCCTCCCCATTCTGTCTACTCCCTTCAGCTCCCTAACACATTTTAAAATACTCATGAAGTTTTTCACAAAACCTGCAGAAAAAACAACAACAATAACAAAAAAGAAGAAAACCAGCTTAATGTTTATTACTTTTCAGTGTCTTTTCCTCTGTGCCTGTGGTATCAACTCTGATTTTTCACAGGGAGACAGATGAAGTTTTTCAACCATGCCAGACAGCTAACTTGAGTGATTTCTGCACCTGAGCCATTTGTTTACTGAAGCAAAAGGGCACACAGTTACAAATGAGCTGGATTACAATTGCCAAAACATCTGCCAAAGCAAAGCCTTTAAAGACTTCTCAGTGACTTTAACAAATCAGACACTCATGCACCTTGTCAAAATGTTGTGTTTTGCCAGCCTGCTCTGATGGAAAGGAGAAGACACTGGTGTAAGGAAGGGCATTCACAGGAGGCATCAGTTGCCTGTGTTGGAGGGAAGCGTGCTCCCAAATTGATCTAATCATAGAATTATTTGCTCTTTTACCAGGTAGAAAATAGTTTAAAACTCCAGCTCCTGTCCTTATTTCACTGATTGACTAAAACAGCCTCCCCCAAGCTTTCCAATGCAGACACATCTGCCCCTTTTTTGGTTTAGAGCAGCCTTTGGCGCTGTTTGTTGCACAACATTCTCAGCCCTGTTGCAAATCCCATTCTATACCTGGTTGTTACAAGCCAGGCATCCAGGGTGGTGTTTTCAGGGCAGCAGCATTTACGGCGCTGCAGCAGCTAAGTGCAGCCTCAGAGTAAGCAGTGGCAGGATCAAGCCCAGCTCCATGTCAGACAGAGTTTGGCACTGATTATGGTGCCAGTCATAGCCACTCATTTCAGAGGTGATTTTGGGCAGCTGCAAGTGCTCATTTGGACTGGGCTGAAGGTCTGAGCATAGCTCGGTCCAGATTTGACAAAATCAAGGGGTTTCTTAGCATCTAGCTCCCAGCTCACCTAGAGCTTCACACAGCACATCACAACTTTGGGAGTCATGCTGGGGAAACTGGTTGCTGCTCTGGAAGCAGCCAGACACTCCTTGTTTATCAGCACAGCATTTTTGGCTGAAGCGCTTTGTAGCCTTACTGGCCTGTTCGTAGAGCGCCTTAGAGCAACACATTTGCAGCTTGCAGCGAGAGCCTCGTTCATTCAAATTCAAAGACAACTGTAACTTTAATTTTAGACTTGTTTGTAATTTGCTGAAGCCATCTCTGTACACTGTGTCATGTTTTTCCACTCATCCACTGTGATAATAAACAGCTTTGTAAAGAAAAAGCTGCCTGCAAGTGCTTTGGCTTTGCTAAGCCCTGTCAAGTAGACACTTGGCTAGATCAAGACAGGACAGTGACACCCTAACTAATTCTGGCTGCAGACAAGAAGGAGGAGCTGATGCAGCTAGAGAAGGCCACTCACAGCTGCCACTGCCCCTAAGGGAGCCTTCCAGCAGCTGATGCCAATCCAGTTAGGGGCACTGAGGAAACCATGATGCTCTGGGACGTGCTGCTGCCATGCTCTGCTTCCACAGTCCTCTGGCCACACTGACGGTAGAAGCTCTTTGTGTTTCCACTCACTGCTGTGGGCAAAGACTTGCTGGCTTGAGGTATTACCACTTGTATGTGGTTGGTGCAAGCTGTGTGCGTTTACTGGTGCCAGAATAACAAAGTGGCCCTCAAGGGAGCCCTGCTGCAACGGAGTGCGGTCCTGCTCCTGTCACACACTACCAGGTCTTCAGGAAAGGATGCTTTTCTGAGCCTGGTGCTGCTTACTTGTGTCAGACATGCATTTCCAGGTGTTGGACCCCAGCTGGACTTGCAGGGTGGTGCAGCCTTTGCTCTTCCACCACAGCCAGTGCAGGATCCCAATCCCATGCCATGGGAGCAGCACTGATGCTGAAGAGAGTGAGACACCCATGCCTTTTCCCTGTAGCTTCATTCTGCTCCCTTACCTCAGTTCAGCAGAGAAAAACAGGAGACTGCTGCAAAGCTGTACAAATGGCTCTGGTGGAGAGCAAAGGCATCGGAGCCAGGCAACAGCAGCAAGGGATGGGTTTGCTGTGAGGAATGAGAGGTCACTACAGAGGCTGCTCAGTTTTCAACTGATGCAACAAGTAATCTCAGCAGGAAAAGCTACAGCTGTACGCAAAGGTCTTGACTGCTGCTTTAGTAGGTAGAAACAAAATGGCAGGATTGTGCTAGATGAAAATGGAGGCCAGGCTGGGAACTATCTGCTGCACTCAAGGATTCCAAGTTTACTCACAGAAGGTGGTTTCTGCTTGCTTGCTGAGGGATCTCAGTTGCTCTGTGGGATAGATGAGGCTTCTAAAAACACAAAATAGCAATAGTGGCAAGTCCTTCCTCATTTCTCCGAGCGGGGACAAACTGAGAGGATGCAGGGAGCACTACAGGTACTGGGGAGTCTGCCCTTTCACCCTGGGAAGTTGCTGTTTGAATACCCTGTGAAGCTTGGCAGTGCCAGGTTAGCCAGTGTTCATTCTCCACTCCAGAGGTAAAGGAGAGCTGAGGGGATGAACTGCAAAGGTTTGAAATAACTGCCTTCAGGTACGCAGGGGGACGTGAAAGCAGGGATGATGTTTCAGAGCAAACAGCAGCTTCAGAAGCATTAAGTCATGAGAGATCACTGCAGGCAGGTTGAGGAATAAAAACTGGTCTTATTCAGCCAGGGGCAAAAACTACAGCCATTGCTTTATACTGGGAAAGCAGAAGATGCCCTGTGCCCTTGTACTCCTGTGCAAACTGGGAGTCCCTAGGGTGACTGCACTGGCAAGTAGCACATTTTGGGCAGAGCTGATGCCACCTCACCCACCTGAGGTCAGTGTCTGCAGGGGTCAAGCAACCCATTATGGTGGCAGTACATAAATTCTTGCCACACTCAGGGCCTGCAGCCATGGCTGGCACCAGGGCTGCTGACAGAGGGGCTCCCAACAGTCCCAGGAGGCTGTGCTTTGTGCAGTGCAGGTGAGCCTGGATTTGAGCACCTTGAGACAGGTGCCATGCTCCCCCATCCCAGCCCCCAGCATAAGTAGGCTGGCTCATGAGGTGGCTGCCAGTGGCACAGCTGATGGGCCACTTCCACCACTGGAGCAAGTGGCTGTGCCCAAGAACAAACCAGCCCTGGTGTGGAAGCATCCCCTTTGCTCCCATGGGGCAGAGAGCTAGAGTTCCAGCTCCAGCAAACCCTTTGCAAAACAAATAAATTATGCCCAACCTCTTACATCTGGGTATTCATCTGATACACTGAAGGCAGCAACAATTATCTGCTAAAGCCTCGCAAGCTGGGAGAGTTGGACCTCATGGACTGGAGCAAATGAAGCTGTCAAGCTTTCATGCTCCCATTACCTGCCAGATTCTTTAATCCTGAGTTTAGCAGATGTTAATCCTGGCCCAGGTGACTTGTGAAGAGGAAAACTGCTCCCTTTAGAAGACACCTGGGTCCGCTGAGGCAGGAATCAAGTTAGGAAACCCCACCACCAGATGGGGAAACAGCCCCACGGTGGTTGTTCTCCTTAGTGACAAAGCCTGATGGGGCTCAGCAGAGTTTGTTTGCTTTTCCTGCTGTTTGAAGCTGGCTTAAAGAAGCAACTAGGACGGGAAGGGCGGGGAGGGAGGTTTTGTTAAAATTTAAACACAGGTTCAAACAAAGAAATCTGTAAACAGGGTGAAAACGAAAGTAGGGCAGAAGCTCAGCACAAAACACGACTCAAAAGATAATGGGCCAAATGCAGAGATACCAAGCACCTGCAGTTTCCACCGAGCTAGCTGAGGACACGTCCCTGTGCTTGCGATCTGCCTTCTCTACGCTCCTGCCTTTATGAGGAGTGAGTCATCTTGCGTCAACTGAGGATGGGTTTTATGCAATTATTTATTTATGTCAAACCCTCCTCCCTGCCTCCATGCATCCCTGATCTCATCCCCCTCAGAAAACAGATGCTTTATTAAATGACGGCTGGAAAACTCCATCTCACTTGGCTTTTGCTAAGGCTCCTTGTTGTCCAGTGGCTGGTTGGTGAGGAGACAGCAGGCACAAGCTGCACAGCACCTCACGAGCAGTGTACTCACGGCCTTGTTTGGCTTTTTTGGACACAGACATCCCTCTCCCTGCAGGGTGGAAGGAGCTAGGAACCTCCTCTACTCAATAAATACACAGAGGGGATGTTTGCAGAGACCAGCAGG